CCTTGATGTCCTGAGGAAGTTGTCCTCACAGCAGCACGACTTGGGGGATAGCGTTGTGGACTAATTCATCAACTGGGGGCCTCCGTGCTTGTATCTTCGGTAGAAGTCACATAGGATTCTGGTGATTTCCCACTGGATAGTTGTTCGAACAGCAAGGACGGTTTCTGGGAGAGAGGGCAGCAGGTGCAGATTTTTGTTTGTTTCCACTTGAGGGATTCGGTCGAGGATACGTCAGAGGTGCTCGTTCCAGCGCATCAAATCCACGAGTTCTCAGTCAGAAATGTTGTTCTGTTGGAGCTGAGAGACGGTGAAGCATCCTTGGTTTTGGCGGGAGGGACCGTAGACCGCCTTGATTGATGCGAGGAAGTTCATGGTTTCATTGGGTTTTGGCATACCCCTGGATTGCCTCGGCCTTGCAAGCGATCCAGGTCACCTGCATCTGTTTCAGTCGTTGCCGCGTGAGGCAGAGATAGCGGAAGAAGGCTGCATTGTTGGCGTCGATCCGGTGGTTCATATTGGCCTTGTGCAGCTTGTTCTCTGTGGTGGACAGGCTGCTGATGGCTGCGTCGTTGTCATCGAACCAGTCCTGGTGCTGACGACGTGCGCGCCTGAGGGCATCCAGGGTGGTCGAATGGACGACGTGCTGCAGTTTGCGTCATTGATTCTCCAGGAGGGTATTTTCATCTGCAGACTGCCGTTCTTCCAGTCGCTGGGTCAGTTGATTAGTGATATGGAGGCAGTGGGTGGGCATATTCAACGAAACCGTAGTCAACTTACCTGGTGGTGGCTAACCTTACGTTTTCCTGGTCTGCAACGTACACTGATCAGGATTTTATACTTCGACGCAAATAGGGGAGTGGGGGTGGGGGTGGGTGCACGAACTCTAGTCGGCGCGGAGTGAACCGACATCTAGGCCAACCACCACACCCAGATGTTGGCATTTGTTGTGGATGCGCGTTCCCGATAACTCCTACCGGATGCCGATCTAGCCGCTGTGTTGTCCCAGCGCATCTACCGCGTAGCCCGTTTTAAAGGCAAAACACACACACTCACAATAGATTGACCACGGTGACTGACGACGTACAGCGAGCAGCCAACAACTTCGTGGACACAGGGACAGTGATTTATGCGCCGCATCTACCACACTCCCTCCTCCTCCCACACAAGTCTGGAAAACGCTTGTTTATGGGCTTCTTCCCCATAAGATAGTTACATAAGTGAATGAATAGTTGTTGCTGCCTTATCTTCTTGGTGTAAGTTGCGGAGGCTCCTCAATATTCCAACATTGTTCCTGATGTGCCGCATTTCTCAGAGTATTGAACTTCCGTCTACATGAAGACACCTTGCTGAAAAAATTCATTTAATTGGGGATGTCTCCTTCAGCTTTACTAAGACCTTTTTCCCGTACAACGTGAAACCATAGGAACACCCAATATCCCCTCTGCTGCGAGGCTCATGTATAGCTAAGAGCGAAGGGTATGCTGATCGCTGATATTTATAAGATGGCCTTGTCTAAATTCATTATTGAAACCTCGGCTGTCTCACTGCCCAGCCTGAGGTTTGGTATTTCAGCTTCCAGGAAGAAATTTTATCCATCCAGTGTTGTCAACGATCATACACCTTAGGATCAGATGGTATTCCAGTCGGTGTTTTAGCGTCTAGTTGCAAGGATGTAGTTCTAGCCCTCCAGTGCAAAGTGTTCTTAACCTCGTTTCTTCGGTTGAAATCTTTCCAAACTGCTGGCGGCTATGAAACCCTACCTCTCTTCAAGCACGGTCATTTGACGGTTATTGGCCAATGACCACTCCGCTGCCAACTCCCGAGATTTCGGAGACTAGGATAAAGGATAAGATTCCACACCATTCGGTTGATTGGAACCCACTAAGTCCATATCAACATGAATATTTTAAGACTGCAGCATGGGACACTTGTCAAATCTCTTTCTACATAGTTGTCGATTGAGAGGCAATACGCATGGATAACACACACAAGCGCACACACGACGACAGTTCGACCATCGATTTCGACGATGTCCACCATATGCCCCGCAGCAGGTGGTGGGAGCAGTAACGGTGACTTGCGCAGTGTTTATAGTACCGGTAGACTTGCGCAGCATCTGCCACACTCTCTCCTCCCCCCACCCAACTGAGCCCCGTGTCAAGACAGAGTCAAGAAGGCTGAGGACGAGGGATTCCGCAGGTGGATCGCATGGACGGATCCGCATATTGGCGCTCCACTTCTCCACATCCACCGGTCCACCCAACAATGACCAGGATTTTGATCAGCAACGACAAATATTGGAGGCTGGCACGGCCGTGGCCGCATCTAGACTTGCCGCCGACGCCCGGCTCAGATCCCACATAGTGGAAGTGCCAAGTAGGCCAAATTAAGAAGGAGCAATTGCAGTCCGACTCGCAGTCTACAAGCCGACCATTCCACACAAACTCACAGCACAGTGCCGACTGCGACGATCAAGTTATGCCGTCACTTGGCAACCTTCCAAGCCACGGCTTTTAATGCTCCGTGATAGCTCCAAACACGTCAGATTGTTTATAGTGAGGAGGAAAACGCGCTGAGTCCTCGACCTCATTCTCTCTTCCCATTCCTGTGCCTCAGTCACTGTCCGAGCTGGTCAGTTGACTGGAGCAGGGAATGGGTGTGGTGGCTGACATAGTCTGGCGACCTTGTTTGCTCACACACATGCACGACCTGGCCCCCCATACACAAGCACCGGAATTTCACACAACGGGGGTAGAGCGGCGTATATCCCATAAGCGTAACGTGGAAGGAGGGGTATTGGCCAGGCCCCCAGCCCACCAGCCCGCCACTCAACATAACACACACAAATCGACGAACTGCGTGAACCGAGAGCGGGCGTCAATCAGCAACCTTCCTATCCACGATGATTGACGTGTCGGGATAGTCTCGGTCTCAGGTCACCCGTGCAGCCGAAGCCGCATGGGGACCGAGTCGAATCGCACACTTCCCACTTGCGTGGGAAGTGGCAGTTGGGTGCTTGCGGTGGATGAGTGTTGATGTGTGGTGTGGTGGTGTTTATGGAGAAGGTAGGGTGTATGAATGTGTGGTGTGGCCGGCGGTTGTCGGCCGCAGGTCGTCGTGGATGCGCATGTGGCCGAATAGGCCCATGCGATGCCTGAAATTGCAAGGGCAGTGTGAGCATTTGAGACGAGCTTGGTGGGTATAGGTCTGTGCTCCAGGCACTGGTTTACCAGTCTCTGTGCGATGGATTCGCAAGTAACCGACCAGGCCGATGTGTGAGGTGAACGTGCGGTCGCAGTGAGGACAGGTGTAGTCCTGATCCTCATCGCTGGTGTCGGGGGCGGCGGGGGTGGTGTCAGTTGCTGTGTGCGTGACAGTCGCCTGAGCGGCCGTCGTTGGAGCAATGGAGGAGGAGGAGGATGATGATTATGATGATGACGACGATGATGATGGAAGTGGTGGTTCAGAAGAATTGTCAGAGTTATTGGCGGCGGAGAGGAGGAGGAAGAGGCGGGCGAGGGGAGGATGGTCGGCGCAGCTCGAGAGGCACAGTTGATCCGAAGATGTCGAACAAGTCCGATTCGAGCCCGAAATGTCCGTTGGCATCGAGGACACGTTGGAAGTGGTTGTGCGTCGGCGTTGCGTACTGGGCGAAGTTGCGATTTGCGGGCTTCGCGTTTCACTTTGGTAGAGCGATGCGGTTGGGTTCGTAGATCGCAGCGCCCGTTTTCACTGTCCTCCTTCAGGTCGGTCGATCGAGTGCGAGCTCTTCCAAGTTGGTCGGGTTTATTTGCAGATGCTTCAGGGAGGACTTTGGAATATCCTTGTATCGACGAATTTGACCTCCTTGGCAGCGAGAACCCATCGCGACGTCTCCGTAGAAGAGTCGTTTGCGTATTCGCTCGTCGTCCATGCGCACCAGGTGGCCGCTCCAGCGCAGCTGCATTTGTCTCAACATGGTGTAGATGCTGAGGATTCCCGTTCGTTCCAGCACATCAGTGCCGGGGATTCGATCCTGCCAGTTCAGCATTAGGATGCGACGAAGACAACTGAGGTGGAAGTGGTTCAGACGGCGTGCCTGCTTTGTGTACACTGTACAAGTCTCCGCTCCATACAGTAGCGTCGGCAGGATGACGGCCTTGTACGTCTTTAGCTTCGTGCTCAGTTGAAGACCGTGACGATTCCAAACTGTGCTTTGGAGGCGACCGAAGGCTTGGCTGGCTTTCGAGATCCTGTGTGCGACTTCGTCGTCGATCTTGGTGTTGCGGGAGAGAGTACTGCCGAGGTACGGGAAGTTCTCCACCACTTGCAGTTGGGTTCCGTTCACGTTGATTTGCGGCGGCGCGTTGGGGGCTGTGGCTGAGTTGGGTGGCGGTTAGTGCATCACCACCGTCTTCTGCGTGTTGATGACCAGCCCAAAGTTCTCGCAGGCGGCGGAGAATAGGTCCATGCTTTGTTGCGTCTCCTCTTCTGATGAGGTGTTCAGGGCGCAGTCGTCGGCGAAGAGAAGTTCGTGGACGGAGGTTCCGGATACGCGCGATTTGAAGTGCATCCGTCGTTGATTCAGGAGGTGACCGTCCGTCATGTAGGCGATGCGGATCCCGAGACGTTCGTCACGGTAGGCGTCCATCAGCATGACAGAGAACATAAAACTGAAGAGGGTTGGTGCCAGCACGCATCCCTGATCCACTCCGTTGGTCACTGCGAATTCCTCTGAGACAGCACCGTTGTCCGTGACACGCGCCATCATACCGTCGTGCAGCTGACGCACCATCTGAGTGAATCGTTCCGGACAGCCGAATTTCTGCATGATCTTCCACAGTCCTTCACGATTCACCGTGTCGAAGGCTTTCGTCAGGTCCACGAAGGTAGAGTACAGGTGGGTCCGCATCTCCTGGCACTTCTCCTGAAGTTGACGGGCGGCGAAGATCATATCCGTGGTCCCACGTTGACGACGGAAGCCGCATTGTCTTTCCAGTAGAAGACCCTATTCTAGGTGATTATTCAGGCCGTTGACGAGGATGCGAGCGAAAATCTTCCCGGCGATGTTCAGTAAGGACATGCCGCGATGGTTGTCGCAGACTTGGCGGTCCCCTTTTTTGCTTGTGCAGATGCAGGATGGTTACGTCTTTGAAATCTTGCGGGAATTCACCTTGACGCCACATCTCCTGGAAGAGCGCAGTCAGATAATCCACGAGTTGGGGCCCACCGTGCTTGTAGTCCGCAGCATGGATCACGTCTGATCCGTGCGCTTTCCCGCTGGAGAGCTGCTGTACGGCCCTGATACTTTCCTGGAGAGATGGCGGGAGGTCGAGGTCCTGGTTGGTCTCCACTTGCGGCAGGCGGGCGATGGCGGCGTCGGAGATGGTGGAGGGGATGTTGGGGACGCCTCTGAAATGTTCGGCCCATCGCTGTAGAATTTGTATCTTCTCAGTCAGGAGGGTACTGCCGTCGGCGCTGAGGAGAGGAGCGGTGTCCTTGGTCAACGGACCGTAGACAGCTTGATCGCGGAGAAGAAGTTCTTCCATTCGTTGCGATCAGCGTACCCTAGAATTTTGTCAGCCTTGCGAGCAGTCCAGGCGTCCTGCATCTCGCGCAGTCGCTGCTGAAGTTGGCGGTGACTGCGGTAGAAAGCAGCTCCACTGTCGTCA